AATATCCCTCATCCGATAAACCTTACAGTGAAGGCGAGATGGTTCGATTGCAGGGACAGCATAGAACCCATCAGTGTCGTTATAATATATATACATATATCCGCAGGGTTCACCACAAGGCACATCATAGATAATCGGCGAAGGGACTAGAAATATCTCAAATCAAAGGTGGCCGCTTCAACCCTGCCGAAGAATTCTTCGTATATGGAACCTAATCGAAACTGTCTCCGCAGATGACGAGAGGTGGAGACTACCATAAGGTACTGTCTTGGCCCAGTTTTACTTATCTTATGTATCAGCAGATTACCTCGATGGGAGGAAGTTCAATGGAAGATCACACGTACGATTTGTGATGTCACTAATTAATTCTACGAGAAACAGCTTAACACTTTAATTGTTTTCTTCTTTCCATGCCGTAAGCAGGAAGGAGATAGAAGAACAGTATTGACAAGGACTTGTTCTATCTTCTCCTTTCCTTTCTGTCTTGTCAAAACATCTCAGCAGTTGCAACTGGTGAGCATTAAATTAAGCAGGAACCAAGCCACTGAGGTCTACTAGTTTTTTCACTGTCAATAACTCCCTAAGCTAACTCACAAAAGTGATGTCTAAACTATCAGTGAACTCGTTCAGGTAGGGATCAGGTGAAAAAAGATGTGCATTGGAGAGGAATTAACTTAATATTGAAGGTATCTTTCCTGAGTTATCTCTGCACACCGACTCCCTTATGGTCTGAAGGGTAACATTGATACCTTCACGTTGCAAGAGGACCTCAACAAACTGTCAGAGTGATCCATAGAATGAGTGCTCCCGATCAATGTGGCAAAATGTGCAACCATGCGCATTGGACAAGCAAGCACAAGCTCCTACGAACTAGGGGGAATAATACTTCCATCAGTTCAAACTCATTTGGACTTAGGTGTCATAGTTAGCCACGACATAAAAACTACAGCACACTGTCGCGCGGTGGCTTCACTTGGCTTCAGGTCCTTATGGGCACTTCGCAGAGCCTTTATTAGAATCACCAAAGATATGTTCACCTCCTTATATACATCTCCGGTGAGGTCTAGACTGAAAGACCTCATCCAGGCCGCCAGTCCTTGTTTGAAAGGGGACTCACATTCTAGAAAAGGTCCAAAGGAAGGCAACACGTATGGCTCACGGCATAGGCAACTTATCATACGAAGAAAGACTAGACAGTTTAAATCTCTTCTTCCTGTTGTACCGTAGGCAGAGGAGATTTATTCACAATGTTCAAAATTGTAAATAACGACTACGGACTTGACCTATTCTCTCTTTTCCTTCTCACCAGGTAGGAATACCTTAGAGGACAAAGCAGGAGAGTTCAAAAGCCAAGAAGAAATCATACTGCTGTTGAGTACTGGTTCTCACACCGAGTCATAAGCTCTTGGAACTGACTTCCAGAAGAAGTGATGTCTGCAACCTCAACTGATTCGTTCAAGAAGTGTTTGCACAACCACATAAATTTACTGGAAAGGGATTAACATAGGCTCCAAGTCTCCTATCCTCAGCCAACAGATCTGAAATCTGAATCTGAATTTTCATTTTTTAAGCGAACCAGATATGAAGGTTGGGCCGCGAATTACGTATCTACCGCGAAAGCGAATAACCGATTACCTGGAATTCCTGTATGTCTGTTGTGGATTTGCGTAGGCACTTTTAGTGGTTTTTATATCATTTAATTGACTCAAAACTTTCAACCAGCAATGGTTGTACTTTCCAGTCATTCTCTTGGTGTCCTGCTTCGTAAAGTACATACATCGAACACTTGAAAATATCCCTGTAAATTTCCATCTCAAGGTGCTATTTACTCAAAGTTCATAGACTGGTGTGTTGAGCTGTTTTTTTGTAGGCAAACTGGTGCTTCTAATGCCCATAATCCAGGGCAGGAAAGCCGATCAGATGCGAAAAAATTGGATAGAAAATAATGAAGATGTGTATGAATTTAGTCGGTTAATTCTAATGTGAAGATGCGTATTGTAGCTGAGAAATTTTGTATAATTTTTAAAGGTAACACTGTCTATCTCATTCTCTCGATACCGGATCCGGTAGTCACTGGTAGTGCACATATGTGATGTTTTGATCAATCTTCTGATTTAGACGATATTCCATATATTTATTTGCTGGTCATGTCTAACAGACATTCTATTTCCCTATTTATTTAATTGGAATAGTTAACAGTTATAATATTAAATGGGACCTACTGACAAAGGTAGTCAATATGAAAATATAAGCACTTACAAATTTTACTTAATAGGGCTTTTTTATTTTTTATCAATATGTCCCACTATCTACCTATTAAGTTGCTATGTGGTCTTCACACTTTAATTTTTTGAGATGTTACATCAGCTCTAGTGGACTGATCTGGGATGAATTTCAGCTTGGATATTAAAGGCCCATAGTGCAACAACCGACCTACGTCATCCCTGGCGTAGACACGACATCCCGTCATCCATCAAAGGATGTATTTATTGCTTAGCATTTTTCTCTTTTCTACTGTATGAATGTGACACATGGACACTGAAAGTGAGAGATGTGAAAAACTATCTTGAACAACAGATATTCGCGTTTTATCTCCTGTCTTAAGTGGTGTAATATAGTGAAGTTTTGCGGTGAAACGTAGAGTGTTTGTTAAAGACGAAGAGTCAGTCGGTGAGCTTGTAAGATTACGTGTGTTGTGATGAATAGGACACGTGTTGCGCGTCTCAAGCCATCGCTTTCCTGGATGAGTAATGCTAGACATAAAATTAAGTTGGAAAGGAGTTAGGGGTGGTCATATCGAAATATTGTATTGGTCTATATTGTTTTTGGCTGTTAGTTTTTTTATTAAAGCTTGACTCCACACTATTTTTGATACAAGTATGGAGTTTTCAGCATGTAATATCGGTAGCCCAAATTTTGCAGGCCGACCATTGATATCAGGTGTGCGTCGGCCGGGGATCAAACCCCGAATATATGCGTGATCGGCTAGCGTCCTATCCACTGAGTCGCTTAGGAGGTTGTAGACTGCTTGACTGAGGTCGTCGAAACACTAAGAGCAACTGGCTAAAGACTATTGGTGATGTTGCTCAAAATTGTTTTCGATGGCGTCTATGTACTCACTACTTGTGGTTCCCCCAATCCACTGAATCTCATGGCACTATTCTTTGTTCAGCGTGTCCATGCTTATTATAATTGTCCGGAATCTTTTTTTTTCTTTGCGCTATTTGAAGTGGGGGCAGCTGTACCGCGCAGGTTTGTATGCTGAAACTCAGTTAGGAGTCTTTCCACGTCCATTGGTTTGATTAAAAGAATTATATCTACTTTTAGAGCTATATATAGATGTGCCTTGTCTATGTTGTTATGCCCCAAAGTCCAATTTGAACAATGGTTTCTCATAACTTGGTCCAACTCAATTGAAGTCCATAATTGTAAATCTTTGTATTTTTGGTAGCTACTTTGCACACTCCTAAATTTAAAGTGGAACTAGGATGTAGACAAAGCTTGTAAACATGCTCCCTAGGTTCTGGTAATGATTCTAAGTTTTAAATGGTTTGATCAATCCATATTAGTTTGATTATTAGATGTATCACACAGTGAAACAGTATTATTTACTAGATGACGTTTCGAACACAATTTATTGTTCACAATCATATCATCAATTATAATCACACGACTTTGAAAGTTGAGTTTTATGGTTTTATTTGTCTTCTATTTGTTGTCGTAGGGGTAGTAGAATTTTCCAGATATCTGGGTGGACAGGTGGTGAATCATCCTTATTACATGTATTTGCAGTTGATTCGATAAACAAAGCTTCTGTTATCATTGCATGTAATAGGAATGATTCACTACTTGTCCACCCAGATATTTGGAAAATGTTACTACCTCAACGACGACAAAAAGGAGAGGGTAAAAAAACTACAAAACTCAAGTTTCATAGTCGTGTGATTATAATTGATATGATTATGAACAATAACAGATTGTGTTTGAAACTGTCATCCAGTATATAATACTGTTCCACTGACTGTGTGATACATCTAATAAACAAACTAATATGGAATTACTTACCACCACAATGCCCAAGTTTTACACATATATTAATATGGCTTGGTAATAGTTTTAAATGAATGCAGAGTGAAGCGAATTCACTCATGCTTCAGATGCTAACATACTTATTTAACTAGCATACAAGCATTGCATTCATTAACGAAATCGTCACTGTATAAAATCTAAAGTGAGAAAGTGGATGAATTAAAAAAAATCATCTATTGTAAAAGTAAGGACATTTATAGTCAACTTTCAGATGTCTTACAGATATTCAGTTAGGTTCACAAATATCGAATCTTATGTACAATCCACCAACGTTGTTTTTTCCAAGAAAATCAAACACAACATTGTTAAAAAGTCGTAAACTAAGTCTACCAACGTAGTCATTACTTGGTCCTTAAATTTGTGTTGGACCTCATTTGGTCGCTATGAGTCCCTTCGTTCCGCAATTTAAGATTCAGTAGTTTTGCCTCCGCAATACTGGTTCAACTCAGTCAGTTTACGCTAGCTTGCTCAACTGTCATTCGTAGTACTGCATTTTGGAATAAAATATTTGTCATTTACAACCATTAGAATATCTAGAAATGCATATAACAGCGACAGTCTTGGGGGGAAACAGAATACCTGGTCGCCGAAATAAAGTGTGTTAACCGTATAACTTAAGACATACCTGTTACGGCAGATGTAGTTTCCAGCAAGATTTCACTTGATTTTATCGCAAAGGAAATTTAATGTGGATGTTTATCACCTAACAGTTAAATCATCTATCCTGTTGGTAGGCGAAAATTTTACTTAGGTACATTAAACCCCTTGGAATTCTGATATTACCAATGACATTTTATCTTCTCCTTTTTCAGTTCACCGACGTGTTTTCACTGGCAATCTTTTGACTTTAATTGCCTTGAATATCTTTTGTGTCTCAATTTTGCATCCCTGGCGTTGTGATAAAATTGACAATGACAGATTGGTTTCATAGAAATCATCTAAAGGCTACTGCAAAGCTTACATTCGACTTTGGAGCAGTTGCTAAAGATTTAAACAGCAGAGCTCTGTGCAGGTATGTATGTTGTCAAGGTATAATGACATATATAACCGCCCAGTGATCTTGAATCACTTTCTCAAATATTTCATTTTTTGTTTTTGTGGTTATGATAGAATGTCGATGACTGAACTGTAAATAGTCTGCATATTTCAAAGGCCTTAAACTATGCAGTATGCTAGTGTTACTTTTCATACATTATGTTTGATGGATCAGGTTTTAAACAATTTTCAAAAACTTTTGTTCTTCTTTTGTAGTCTTTTATCATATTTATGATTTTAGATCTCATTTTCATATAAATTTTTGGTCAGATTATTCGAAATGTGTTATGCACAAACACCAGACTAGCTTCATATATTCACAATGCTCTGAAAATAGATGTGGTCGGATGTTGGTTTTTTCTTTACCCGTAGTCATTTATGGGTTGACTGTGTGTGTACACTGCAGCGTCACTTCTCATTTTTCTCTGGCTTAGAAGTTTTTACCATTATAACAAGTTAGTTGAGATTGGTACACCGCCTGAAAATTTGGCAACATTAACTGAACTTTATCAGCAGGAGTTCAGTGACTTTGAACTTTTGTTGTTTGATTCATATTTCTATGCCTTAAGTAGAATAAAAGGACAAGAAGTTCAGCAAAGATGGTAATCTTTTCGGTGATTTCACTCTCAAAACCAGCTATACAATCGTATTTATATAGATTAGCTTACTTGGATACAACTAATATTTGCTTAATTCCACATAGTAACGAAGGTGATAATAATTTTCAACTTGATATGAAAGTTTGAAGATAGATTATAAGGAGCTTAGAGAAAAGATTGTGTAGGATAAGAAAACAGTTACAACGTATGCAAAATTAATACTTGATAACTGGAGAAATAATTTTAAAGGCGAATAAAAGGTGATAATTATTTTCAACTTGATATGAATTACAAGAGGTTTAGAGACGAAAGTTACGCAGAGATAGAACGAATTACAGGTGTGAAATCAAAATTTTCAACTTGAAATGCAAGTTAGGAGGTGTGTGACAGAGGCACAGAAACAAAATTACACAGGATTAGAAAATAATTGTAAAATGGTTATTGTAAACAGATTATAAGTGTGATCAGGAGGAGCATGGAAACAAACCTAAAATAACTGATTTTATAACTGAAAAAAGTGGGATGAATTGAATGAAGACAAAGACAGAAAATTACACACACAGAGAACAAAACAAAAAAAATACTGAAGGATAAGGGAACATACCGAACTAGGTCCATGGTAGTTGTAAAGGCTGGACTAGTTTCTTTTGAACACATAGCTCCGGCTTTTCGATGCAAATGGCGAAAGCTTCCACAGCACAAAGAAGTCGGAAACACACTGCCTTTGGTAGAATACTGTGCAGACATGGTTCACTGGCTATTCCAGGAGTGGATTTTAAAATTTGATTCAAACACGATCTACTTTAATTCGATCACGTGATATATATATATATATATATATATATATATATATATATCATTGGCATTCATGGATTTAAGTGTAAATGATAGTCCAGGAAATTCGAGAATTCTAGCGGACAGTCACCCAGTGTTAACTAACAATTTGCAGTAATACTTCACGTTATCATAAGTATGAGTATATAAAAATTAAACTAAATAGAAATATTAGCAACGACATAATAGTGAGAAAAATCGGGCCATTTACCTAGACTTTCACACTAAGTTGGTAATTTCCTGTCTTACACTTTTCTCATCACATAATGTGTCTAAGTAGGATATTGTAGAGTTTTTTGTACTTCGTTGTCCGAGCATGCAGTCCTCTGTAGTTGCTTCTAGTTCTACCAAATGGATGAGATGCAGAGAGAGAATTGTGTATGGAGAGGATACTCATGGTATGTCAAGATGATATTTGCTAGTCTCTTGCAGGAGTCCATAAAACAGCCAAAGAGTAAATCATCCTCCTGTAATTGTGTTTGTTTCTCTGTCTGTTTCAGTGATGAAAGAGAGTTGTAGCAAAACTGCTAATAGCTTTTATGGGTGCGACTTCGAATCACTCGTAAAATTATCTTGTAACATCAGGACTGGATTACACTGACTCCTAGCTTAGAAACAGGAAGTGAATTGGTGACAGAGTGTTGACCACTTCACTCACCTTAGAAGTTGCATCAGCCAACGCCAGTGGGTTGATCGCTGATGAAATCTCTCCACCGATACAGAAGGCTAGTTTCGCATATGCCAGTTTACGCCGTCTCTGGCTTAGTAGATGCGGTATCCGCCTGGATGTCGACTGAAGGGCGTGTGTACTGCTCACCAATCCGCCTCGTCCTCCTTTATGTCTGTGAGCGAGAAATAACCATTGAGAATGGAAGACATGAAACGCTTGACTAGCTGTCTTTGATCACAGGTGTCTGTGTTTTTATCTCACGTGTTAAGTGGAAAGTAGGGTGAGCAATAACAGGGTCAGGCCTCAGTCGATTGTTAGGTAAGGAGGGAAAATCAATCGACGAGGCTGTGAAGTTACATTGATTGAATGAGATGGTTAGGACATGTGTTACAAATATCTGGCCATCTCCTGCTTCTAAATTGGATCAGGTCGGTAAAGAGCTAGTGGGTGGTCCGAGAAAAACATGGCCTCATTAGTCAATGAAATCTACAACAGTAAGTTAAAGCCACGTAGTGAGGTGTAGACTTCCTGGTTGTGGTCGTTGGGAAGATAAAAGCTAACGAAGGCTGGAGACAATTGGTGATATGCCTCAAAGTCGTTCTCAATGGCTGGTGCAGATGCATCCACTCCTTGTGACTTATAGTTTCCAATGAAACTATATTGTTCTTCGCTATTACTATTCCTTTTGTCTCATATCCTTGTCTAATGTCTCTGTTTTGCATTTCTTCTACTTCCTTCTGTTGCTTTGTGTGCTACATGAAGTGTAACGACTCGAACTGCTATATATTGGTGCAAAGTTCTATGATGAAAACCGACAAACATACAGACAAGCAACTATCCTGATCTTATGTCTTCACTAGTTTTGCGCATCTAATCTTTATTTATTTTACATCATTTCATTTTTAAGCTTTCGGTTTAGCAGATGTATTTATGTAAAGTATAGAGAAATGGCCTTAAAACATAGTAAATGCTAATGTGTTACTTGATTGAATACTTGGCAGATAATGTTGTCTAACTAAGGGGACTAAAAATCAAACCGTTGCTCAGAAAAGTTAACAAGAGATTATGATCGATTCGCAAAATAGTACTATTTTAGGGCCTTCCTCCTCTTGGTATTTATCGTTTTTCAGTATATTATGCGTAGTTTATCCTTTTACGTGTCATTATATTCTAATCCTCGTTTCAAATAATTCATTCATAGATATTTTTGTTGTTGTTCTTGTCTGATTTAATTCTAGTGAAGCTGCAAAACGTCGTGTTGAACTTCTCAAGTTAATCTCAGATCCGTCTGCACCATGTGAATCAATTCAGACCGCGTTAAATCGTTACCTCCAGCTGTTAATGGGCTTTGTTTTATCCGTTGATAATAAAACACCCTACAGCAAATTACGAGGTCTTGTCTGTGTAAAATGGTCCGATAGTATTAAACCAAAGGGTGAACCAATGTTGGTTAACATTTCTTTTATTTATTTGTAATGTTGCCTTTATCCTATCCTGTTTTATTTAGTGTCAAATATGATTCAATATTTGAGCTTTACTCAATCATATTTAATGTCGCCTTATGGTATACCAAGCATGCAGCAAAAGTAGCTTCTAGTGAAAGGTTAGTTATACATTTATATATATATATATATGAAAAAGAGAAGACGTTCAACGAAGAGACTCTTTTCGGCGAATTCATTCACATAGCTCTACAATCCCATTTATAGATAATTATTTGTGTCTGTGTGTGTACATGAGGTTTGTCAAGTTTAGATAATTAATCAGGTAATACTGGAATGATCTAATATAGAAACAAGGTTAATTAGACAGCAATGTGTATCTACCAATTCACCTGCTCCACGTGTTGAGCCAGGTATGTCGGCCGTACCCAGCGTTCGCTTTCCAAACGTATCACCGAACACTTGCCAACATGGTTTTGCAAAGGAGAAAAACGATGTCCCCCGCAGCTCCATCTTAGAACATCTGATAGATTCCGGACACCAAGATACACCCCAAACAAACTTCAAATTCGTCTACATAGTAAAAAGTAGTCTTCCTAAAGATGTACGAAACAAACTCCTTCAAAATGCAGAAGCAATGGCAATTCATTTGCTAAGCTCTTAACTCTGCCTACAGAAGAAATTCGTTCAATCACTACACTTTCAATGGACGTAATCTATCTTATTACCCGACAAGTAAATCCTACCTAATCATTTTTTTTTGCTATCTCTTCATTAGTATTATTTTGTCTTCTCAATTGTAATGTCTTACATTTTCAACATTCCTGTTCTCTACCCCCACCCAATTTAATTTCTACATCTCACTACCACTGTTATATGATTTGACCAACGCTCAATTCCTAGTCCTTTATATTACGTCATCTAATTTATTTGCTCAATTTAAATGGCAGTACTCTCTACCCTACCTCTACTTAATCTCTTCCTGTAATTACCTCTGTTGCCATCCTGACCTAAGTTGAAACATTTCAGCCAATTGTATTACGCCATCTAACCTACTAACTCAATCCTACTTTAGTTGCTATCTGATTAACCTTATTTCTATATTAGATTATTCATTCCTGTATTACCTGATTAATTATCTAAACTTGACAAACCTTATGTACACACAAACACAGAAATAATTTTCAAGTGTTGGTTTTGTAGGGATTTGGTTTGATTGTATGGAGGATTTAATCATAAGCTGACATCAGTTAGAGAACCACTGGAAAACCTAGGAGTACTGGACAGCTGTTTCGTCCTAGTTTGGGACTCCTCAGCAGTACGCACCCACTGGGGTTCGAACCCAGGGCCTTCTGGTTACAAGGATGAGGCAGTAACTCATCGAAGAAGACATTGCGAAGTGGTCGCGCTATGTCGTGAATTGGCAGAAGTGAGAATTCAAGAACCATTGGATCGGGTCCCAGTGGCTCAATGGTCTACGAGCTCGCCTTGTAACCAGAAGGCCCTGGGTTCGAACCCCAGTGGGTGCGTACTGCTGAGGAGTCGCAAACTAGGACGAAACAGCTGTCCAGTACTCCCAGGTTTTCCAGTGGTTCTCTAACTGATGTCAGCTCATGATTAAATCCTCCATACAGAAATAATTATCTATAAATGGGATTGTAGAGCTATGTGAATGAATTCGCCGTCGAAAAGAGTCTCTTCGCTGAACATCTCTTATTCTTATATTTGTTTTTATAAATTAATTGGTTCATAATTCGCTGTATTTATAATTTTAGTGTCTCAGAAGACGAAGCCAAAGATGTTCACTTATCACTTCGTACAGCTGCTGGACTATTTAATCTTCTAAGAGAGAAATATATGCATGAGTTTACAGAGTTTATAAAGAATAGTGATTTGGATCCAAATATTTTAGATGCTTATATCAGTCAGTCGTTGGCAGAAGCCCAGGAAAGTTAGTTATGCTTGTGTTAACCTTTCTTTTTTTTTCATGTTTATTTTATACAATATTGGAAACATTATTTTTCGATAGGAATTTAAAACAAGCAATAATGGTTAATATAGCAGGATGATTTAATGATGAATTCATCGAATTTCGGTAGAACTCGTCAGCTGCTGAATACTCTACATACACGGATACATATATACTTTTGAAATTACATTGGGAGATATAAGACTGATAAGTAAAGAAGCCACATTGAATTAGTCATGCAGAAAGACGACAGGAGAGAATGTTTTCTAGGTCATGTTCAAATAGATAAGGGGAGAGAGAGTAAGAGAGATCAAATTTGAGATGAAATTCATTACACTTCAATTACATCACTATAATAACAATAATATTAATGTTGAAATGAGTTAAGATAATGCCACCGATAAATGATAGTTTTAAATGTAATCAAGAATAATAATAATGATAATAATAAGAGGAAGAATAATAAGTAAAACGTGTTACCATGGTAGATTCAGAGTGACGACCATCTCCTTTTGTACACAGAGACCTGGTTTATAAACTCGAATTGCACAAGTAGTTTCCCCGGCAGTTGCAAGCATCTTCCTGTTTCTTTGTCTGCTGACAATAACAGTGAATGACTTGACATTGCGTCGATATCATGTCCATAGTCCACAAGATGTTTTGCTGTTGAGGATTTTGGCACTTTGCACTCAGCTGTTTTCAACCATTTTGCCAAATGCTTCATCATGCGATGAGTAGACAGTCGCCTTTCTGTACGATCTATGTATTTGCTTTCAATTGATGAGTCACGGATTCGAGTCCTTTTCCACATACTTCCGCTTGGGCAATTAGGTAGTATCATCACCCATCATATGGTAAGTGTGGCGATTAGTCGAGTGCATGAAAAACCCTGTTCCACTTAATTGAGCCTAAAAAAAGATCTGGTCTATAAACAGTATTTACACAAGAAGTTTATTCAATAGTTACACTATGAGGTATTCCCTATATTTCCGTGATATACATTTATTAATACTGTCTTCATAAACTATTTAACTTTCTCTGTGCATGACACTGAAACATGATTTTTTCTTTAAACTTATTCGATGTATAGTTACTGTAGCCAGAGCAATTGAATTAAAGCACAAACCTCATTTAATCTCCTCTCTGGCCAATGAAACTGCAAAGTTTTACGAAAAGTGTGGTAAGTTTTATAATATTGTTAATTTTTTTCTTCTTATTGGAACAATATCTATAGTAAATTTGGTGTACAGCGAAAAGATTATACAACCTGGCTTGATTTACTATGACTCTTTAATTAGAAGTGACTCTTACTAAGAACCTCGTTCAGCGTAACTGGGTTCCTGAAGACGCCACTAATCTACAGCCTTTTTTTGAAAGTTTAGTTCTCATATACACCTAAGAAGGAAAAGCTATTTCCCCCTACTGGTTTAGTTCTCAGTACACTCATTGGCAGTCTTCACTTCAGTATTAACTTGTGATATAACTTTTAAAGTAAGGTGACTATCTACATAGTAATGGCAGCTATACAACTTGCTACATATGTATGAGGGTAGGTAGACTTCATCCATACTCTCGAAATGATTTCGTATAGTCACTTGTTCACAGCCTTCATGCGACAAAGAGGTGTTCACACAAAAAGTGAAGCAACTGATGCAAATGTCCAACAGTCATCATCGGACTGGTGGACGACGTATTGTACTAAAACTTTTTAGTATCTAGTATCTGAAGTCCTAGGCTCAATAATCATGCGTAGACTAAGTGTTTCTCGGGAGGCATAAACACGAGAGAACCAGGCAGGCTTTAGACCAGGAAGAGGGTATTATATTGATCATATCTTCACCCTCCGACAGATTCTAGAACTTGGGCATACCTACCAGCGCCCAACAATCACTATATTCCTCTACATAAAGACGGCATTCGATTCTGTCGATCGAGAAGTTCTCTGGAGATGCTTGGCTGTAAAGGGAATTCCGAGAAAATATATTGCACTGATTAAGGCACTCTACTCGTACTCATACAGCCAGGTGAGGACTTACGGCGAGTTGTCATCTGAACTGGTGACGACTAGTGGTGTCCGTCAAGGATGCCCATTATCCCCTTTTCTATTCAACTTCATCATAGATGTACTAATGGACTTAACCCTAAGTGACTTCAGCGACTCAGGGATTGACTTGCTACCAGGGAATAATCTCGTTGACTTGGAATATGCAGACGATATGGTCCTTCTAGGCGACGACTCTGACAAAATGCAAAGTCTTCTAAACACCTTGAGCCGCAATCTACCAATGTTTGGCATGCGATCCGCTCCTGCCAAATGCGAGATGATGTTACAGGACTGGACTACATCGACGCCTAGTTTAAAAATAGGAAGTGAAGTGGTAGAGCACGTTAACCGCTTCACTTATTTGGGAAGTACCATGAGCGAGTGCCAACGGGTTGATCTCTGACGAAATCTCAGCACGAATACAGGGGGCTCGTTTCGCATTTGCCAGTTTACGCCGAATCTGGCGTAGACGAGATGTTCGACTATCGACCAAAGGGCGGGTGTACTGCTCATCAGTCCGCTCCGTCCTCCTTTGTGGTTGTGAGCGAGACCTGGCCACTGAGAGTGGAAGACATGAAAAGACTAGCTGTCTTTGATCATAGATGCCTGCGCTCTATTTCCCGTGTAAAGTGGCATAATAAGGTGAGCAACATTGAGGTTAGGCGTAGAGTTCTAGGTAAACAGGGGAAATCAATCGACGAAGTCGTGAAGTTACAAAGACTGAGATGGTTAGGACATGTGTTACGTATGCCAAGCCATCGCCTCCCTCGACAATGGGCAATGTTAGCGGATATTGGGTCAGGCTGGGAAAAATCTAGCGGCGGTCAAACAAAAACTTGGCACCAGTCAATGAAATTTACAACAGTTGGTCTAAGCCACGTAGGAAGGTGTAGACTTCCAGGCTGAGGTCCTCGGGACGGTAAAAATCTATGGTTGGAAACAATTGGTGACATGGCTCAAAATCGTTCTTAGTGACGCAGGTGCATCCACTCCTTGTGACTTATGATTTCCAATGAAACTGTCTTGTTCTTCATTATTACTCCTTTGTCTTACACCTCTGCTTACTGTCTCTATTATGCTTTTCATGTACTTTCTTCTCTTGCTTCGCGTGCTACACGGAGTGTGGCGACTTGAACTGCCGCACATTTGTGCAAAGTTCTATGTCGAAAACAGACAGACAGACAAAACTTTCTACCATATTTTGATTGGACACTAGTTAGTAACTAGTGTGATGTGTCTAGTCCTGTCTTTGGTGCAAGCTGAATTCTACCAGTCAAGTTTGCAATGTGGCCACCATGCTAAGTGGCTTGCCACTACGGTGCACTATGAATTGTTGGTAGTAGTCGGTTGGAGGCGGGTGACTCAGGTTCGAATTTCACAAGGGATGTGAATTCCATCAAGGAGGCTGCAGATACACCTTGCTGACTGGTAAGTGCCAACCATCAAGAAATCTAAGTCAAGCAAGGCTTCCTGTGGTCGACTGCCTCCAGCTGTCTAACACATACTACCATCTACGAACCTTCACAGACTGAATCGAATTGTAACCCTCTCTAACCACTTTTTTTAGATTTGAAGGAAAGTGCAGCTGATTTGCTGGTTGTGTAAACAGCGGAATATCTAGCCACTGTTGCATCTACCAGCAGAACAACTTCGCTTTCAAATCTTCGCTTTAGGCATAAGGCGTTTACACTGTGTCAACAAGCGTTTCCTGTCTCACCAGTAGGCAATTGTCCGTTTTGGCATGCTAAAACATATGAAAATGGTCACTACAGATAGCATGTTACCTTGATTCATTACAATATGCATGACTACTACACTAAGACAGGAACTAATGATTGGTTATATTTTTTAATATTAATTTCAAACTATTTGTCAGCTGTTATAAAATATTCTGAAACAGTTTCTAAAGTACACTTCATGCAGGTAGATGAACATTAGCTTCGTATGTGGAGAACTTAGAGGATTTACGATAAACAATATTGACCGAACTAGTATGCATTCATTGGTTGAGTGGTGGTGGAACACTGACCAACTCGGCAATTAGTCAGGGAAAATAAAAGACAAATTCAGCGAAGAAAATTTTCTTTATCGATGAAATCATCTACAGAGTCGGCTGTACAGTCGTATTTATATTTACCAAAAAATGTATAGTGGTCTATTATTGAGCAATAAGGGTACGGGGTGACATAACTGATATAGTTACTCAGAAGCGGCTTTAGAGGTAAAAAATAAAAGTTTTAAATTACATGTAAATTACTCAACGGCACAAAGTTAAAAATTTGATAAGGTTAAAATTGCTATTGAGTGAGAATAAAGGTAGTTGAGTGTCAATTTAACAAGTGTGAAAAGGGTGTGAAAATGTACAAAAGGAACATATGAGAGTGATAATAGTGAATTAATTATTAAAGCAAAAGAAAAGAAAAATCAATTTTTTTTACAGTAAACGACTAGTGAAAAGGTTAAGACCAAGGTAGAATAAGAGACTGGACAAACTTTTTCTTTATACAGAGTTCGGGGTTGTATTGACGAACTGCCAGCGCTTCGGCCATACACAAAAGCCGAAACCTGACGCCCTTTGTACCATTTGGCCTCACCTTGCAGATAATCTTGAAAGACGACTCTGGTGGAGCTACGTAGCCTGAGTTCACCAAGTGCTCGGGAATTGAGCTAGTAATCGTCTTGCATTGTCCGTTTGCTAACCATGCCAGATAATGTTCAGAAATGCGTTTGGAAAGTGTGCGCGTTGTGCGGCAATATAACTTGCTCCACACGAGCAGGTGGGTCAAAGCGGCAGGTTATCCTTCACACATCCACTGATCACTTGTCGGCTGTAGAAATTAATACGCTCAGCAGTAAAGAAGGCTTTTCTCAGTAATCTGCATAAGCTATTCTTCAGGATCTCAGTTGCGGTATCACCTTTCAATTCAACACTCATAAATAGCAGTTTCTTCAGCACTGTCTGGCTTATTTCAGGCTTTTCCCTTAACTTCATGTTTTTTCTCGATAAATCTTGGAGGATATCCGTTCTCTATGAGGACTTGTCTCAGTCGCCCCAGTTCCCCATCGATTGTATCCCTGGAGGAACATATCCTTCTTATTCTTGAGGATAAAGAGTGGATCAAGTTTCTCTTTCTCCTCAAAGGGACCCAACTAGTCCGGGGTTCGACTCTTCGCTTTATCGATAATAAGCCCGATTAAGAGGAAAGGTTAGGTGTGGGACTAGCAGCCCCACCCCATAAAGCAAAACATCAGTGCCACCGAAACTTCAAAGCTCTCGCTTGAAGCCCAATGTTCCATTGGGAACGCAAAAGAATAATTACTATCCTAGTATGCCTTAACTATATACAATGTAGGCTTTTTAATCGCTACTAAAAAGAGACTTATTGTTTTGCTTTTCTTTTTTGTTACAGGCTTAGCTTTGAGTCAATGCGATCCAAAAATTGTTGGAAAGTGGAAAAAGTATGCTGAATTCAAACAGTGCTGTTATGAATCTTACGTAAGCGATGGTATTGTTCATACATATTTATATACATACATCATCGAAAGGGTAAACTGTTACCCCCTGTTATCTTCTTTCTTGAATGATAATATTTATAGTATTGGCTGATAATATCACTTGACAACTACTGTAGTTCTGGTTTTGTGATCTATGAAACCATTTAGCAAGTGTCCTTAAAATACTCTATTCACTGTGATGTTTGTATAACTTGCTTTTCTGTTCAATAATGTTTTCTTCAGCATTCATATGTCTTTAGTGAGAGTTGTTAATTAGTCAAGTCTTGTGCATTGAAGACTTTGAAGTGGTACATAACTTCATCTTTATATCGGGATTGATAAAGAAAGAGAGACAGACTTTCTTATCATCAATGTTTTCGAACTGCGTTTTAATTGAATTTGAGATTTTCCCGTCGGTTTCCCATCGACCGAAGTGCTCGGTTTCAGGTTGACATGTTGGCTTCTTGTGCAGATGCTTCGACGATGTTTGGCATTTAATTAGTATTTAATTGGTGGATGGTGACTAACAGTGGAATCCAGCCAGGATGCGCATTTCGTCCTATTTGGGACTCGTCTGCCAGCTGGATGTACCTGCATTTCTCAGTGAGTGACGGTGTTCCCACCGAGGCTTGAACCCAGTGGCCATAGTTTCAAACGCCAAACTGTTATCCACTAGACCACTTGGGTCATGAGAGCCACCTCTTGTGCAACGGATCATATTAATTTTAATTGAATTTGAGATTTTCCCGTCGATTTCCCATCGACCGAAGTGCTACTATTAGGTGGTTGGAGGCAATCGGGAGGAGGCCTTGGACCTGGGTTTTGTGCCAATTGGGCTTCAACAGTCAGCAAGGCGTATCTGCAACCCCTTTGAAGGAACTCATGTCCCTTCTGAGATTCGAACCCGCATCATCCAATGGTGCAGTCAGAGACGCTACCACTGAGCTATTCAGGCTCGCGACTGATCTCCTGTAAGACTGTATTGGATATATATATTTGATTGGACACTGTGGTCAGTAACTAGTGTAATGTGTGTGTGTTTAGTCTTATCTCCTCTGCAGACTGAATTCTATCTGTCAGGCTTGTAATGCGACCACCATTCTAGGTTGCTTGCTCGCCATCACAGTGCACTGTGAATTGTTGGTAGTAGATGGTTGGAGGAAATCGGCAGGAAGCCTTGGATCTAGGTTTTGTGCTAGTTCGCACTCATCAGGAAGGTGTATCTGCGACCTCGAAGGAACTCATATGGTGTACTATAGTGGTTATCATAATAGTCGAAGGAGGATAAAAGTGTATGGGATCCTTACCCATTGGGCAATATTTTGAATCAAACGAGAAGGGTAGGGGAAAAGACTCACTGAACTGCTTATTGTTTGAAACAAATTTATCAAATGTAAAGCACTTATTCCATGCATTAGTTTAGATTTCAGAGAAAGAGAGAGAGAGCTATTGATTAAGGTAAAGTGGTGCATATATTTGTTGTGATAAAAACTGTAAAGGGACTGCATTTTGTTGATCTTGAAACTTTGCTTCCAACCAGTTGGTTGTGTGGGCTCACAGTCGAACTGTTACCTGAGCATTTGATTCAGAGTTAGCGAGTTGTCAGTTTGAAACCCGCCTCACCTTTTCATTATTCCTTTACGTTCCCAGTAGTGGAACATAGGGCTTCAAGCTAGAGCTTTGAAGATTCAGTAGCAGTGGTGTTTATTTTTACGGGATGGGGTTGCTATTCTCGTGCCTAACCTCTCTCTTCACCATTCATATTTCTGGCTTAGTGAGGTAAAGGAGTACATTGTCTGGGGGATTGAACCCGGAGCCACCTGTGTAGTTGGCGAGCATTCTACCGCTGCGTCACCGCCTCACCTACCTGGCATCAATCCATGAAGTAGTCTTGACTACTGGTTTGCGGCACTTGGGGGAGATATAGACTCCTTGGCCTGAGGCCGTTGGGACATTAAGAATTAATAGCTGGAAACTGTTGGTAAAGTGGTTGAGAATCGTTCACACTAGTACAAATGGATTCTCTCTTTACGAATTCATAAATCCATTAAATCGTCGATATAAGGATAAAATTTCGGCACTGTGGTAGTGTATAATTCCATTATCCATAAAATCCTACTTTGATAAAGTCAGACAGTGTTATACAATAATATTTACTGATGATGACGGTGAAACTATTAATGATAATGTTAATAAGAAAGAATATAAGGCATCTAAAGTTTTACCATATAAAGAGGAGACATTCAAAACTCTACGTAGGATTCTTAAAGCAGGAATTAGGGTGGAATTTAAACCTAAAAACTGACTTAGGTAGGACAAGTACTGTAGGTTAAGGGACCCTGTAGGTCGACCCAATTAAACAACATGATATAATTTACAAAATACCTTACAATGACTGTCAGTTAGGTGGTCAACTACATAGGTTGAACAAGTAGATTAGGAGTAGTGAGATTATCAAAACATAAGAATTTAGCTAAGTGTGGAATGATTGATCCCACCCCCAAAGATAAGTAATCTATAAAAAAAACTCAGCAATTATACTGAATGCATTTAGTAACACACAGTCAGACAATGGGGTGGGAGATAGTTAAAATTCTAAAAGGTAACATAGGTAGGTGAAGAAAGAAAGGCTGATTACTTTCTGAATCCTGGCTCATCGAATCATCTACACCCAACACATGCAACAGAAATGACTCAACGTAAATACCAGAGGTATAGAAGATATTATTACCACCAGTCAGTCAAATCAGAGGAGGATAATAAATAATGTTGAAATGTATTCAATTCACATACATTATAACATTCTAACAAGTTACTTATTATTTTTTACTATAAAAACATCTTATTTCCCATCTTATTGTATTTGATTGGTAGCACTAATATTGTTTCCGAATGTACTTTATCTTATACTGATTTTATTCAAATATCCAATCATCAAATTTTACTCATGTATATGAATGAAGCAAGAAAGTTATGTGAGTAGTGCCTTGATATGATGACGATGAGCAGTAATACATTGTGCTCGAAATATCGTCAGTAAATATTACTATACTATACTGTACTTCCACGGTGTGGGCAGCCGGGAATTAACAACCGCCCTTACAATCCGAAATGTACACGAACCCTCTCTATTCCTCACTCATCTTTGTCTTCATCTTCATCTCCATTATCTTGCCTTCCTTCCGCTGATGCAACTCCCCTATTTGATGTCTCTTCACTCTGTGTCCACTAAAAACGACGAAAGCCAAAAAACCACCACGGATAGTCTCCTAAAGCCACGCCACCAATTTCATATAGGAGCATTTAATGTTAGGACACTTTGCCAAATAGGACAACAAGCATCACTAGCTAAGACCCTGGCATCCGAGCCATTGATGTATGTTGTGTTTCAGAAACACGCATACAAGACCCAAGTGTGGTTATTCACCTAACCCCACCTGGCCAACAGGATGAATCTTCAAAATTCACCTTGAGGGTGTCAGGAGATGCCACAGCTAGTTCACGAGGATTAGCTGGCGTAGGGATAGCTTGAGTACTAGGGCAGAAAAGACATTGCTTGACTGGATCCCGGTAGATAGCCGAATGTGTGCTGTCCGTCTGAACGGATCAGTAAGAAGGAGAAAGGACTGCACTACTCGCCGATGCCTTTTCGTAATCTCCGCCTACGCCCCCACTGACTGCAGTTCGGATGAAACGAAGGATGAGTTCTACCAAAAGCTGTCTAGTTTGGTGAGAAAGGCTAAACGCTCAGATATAGTCGTTCTAGCTGGTGAAAATTGTGTCAATCTGAGAAGGATGTCGGTGGCACCTATGGAGTTCCGTGCCAGCGAACCGACAACGGTGACCGTCTCCTACAGTTCTGTTCAGATAATCATTTGTTTCTTGTAAGCACTAACTTTAAACACAAGGAGAGACACTGTTTAACCTGGCGACCCCCATCATCAAACCAACGCTGGACACAAATAGACCACATAGCAATAAGCTATCGTTGGCGTGGGTCGGTAGGAGATTGTCGCTCCTTCTGGAACACGTGTGTAGATACCGATCACGCACTGGTCCGGGCTCGTGTGTGCTTACGACTGAACGGACGTAGGAAACAGCTGGCGGTAAAACCATCACGTCCCCAGCTCGATCAGGAAACTAAATCCCTATTTGAGGAAGAACTAGCTAAACGCATATCTGAATTCGACAGCTGTGCTCACCCTGGAGAAGCCTGGAAGAATATTCAGTCAGCTATAGATACAGCTGTAAAAGCTGTGAATAAGAAATCCAAAGGTGAGTAAAAACCACTGGATTTCGACTGCCTCATCCGAACTGATAGATGCTAGAAGACTTATTCCGGCGAGCTCCGAATTCAATGAGGAGCGAAAGCTGCACAAAAGGAAACTTACTAAAAGTCTCCGCAAGGACCGTGAACAGTGGTGGGTGACAAAGGCGAAAGAGATGGAAAAAGCATTGGCGATAGGCAACACTAGGCAACTCTTTAGACTCATCAGAATCGGGTGGGAGAAGGCAATTCATAAGTGAGACTATTTCTGAGAAAAATGGCTCCTTAATTAGCTCTCAGGATAGACGCCTTGAACGCTGGAAAGAACACTTTGAGGAACAATTTAACTTGCCTACAGCCACACTGAACCTCCCCGCCATCCACACACCCGAATGGGATATAGACACTGGTCCGCCGTCTGTAGGTGAGGTTACAAAAGCTATCAGTAATTTGAAACGAGGCAAAGCGGCAGGACCCGACGGAATTATTCCGGAGGTGTTTAAATATGGGGGTGACATACTAGTTTGTAGATTAACTAGGCAAAGTCTGGGAATCAGAGACAGTACCATCAGACTGGGGTAAGTCACTTATTATACCGATATTCAAGAAGGGAAACAAGTCCTCGTGTGATAATCATAGGGGGATCAGCCTAACGAACATAGTCTCTAAAATCCTAGGCTCAGTAATCATGCATAGACTAAGCAGAACTCGGGAGGAACAGACAAGGGAAAATCAAGCAGGCTTTAGACCAGGTAGAGGGTGCATAGATCATATCTTCACTCTTCGACAGATTCTAGAACATAGACACACTTTTCGGCGTCCAACAATTGTCATATTTCTTGACTTGAAGGCGGCCTTCGACTCCGTGGATCGAAAGGTACTATGGCAATGTCTGACTGTGAAGGGAGTGCCAAGAAAGTACATTGCACTAATCAAGGCACTCTATTCAAACTCACGTAGTCGTGTAAGGGCTTATGGGGAATTGTCATCTGAATTGGTAACAACCAGTGGTGTCCGACAGGGATGTCCACTTTCCCCATTTCTGTTTAACTTCATCATAGATATGCTAATGGAAGTATCCTTAACTGAACGTAGTGACTTAGGAATCGACTTGTTACCAGGGAATAATCTTATGGACTTAGAATATGCAGATGACATAGTCCTGTTAGGGGAGGATGCTGACAAAATGCAGAGTCTTCTGAACACCTTGAGCAGCAATCTTCGTATGTTTGGCATGCGATTCGCCCCTGCAAAATGTAAGATGCTGCTACAGGACTGGACCACGTCAACTCCTAACTTAGTGATAGGGAGTGAAGTGATAGAACATGTTGACCACTTCACCTATTTGGGAAGTTGTATTAGCACCAACGGACTGATTGGCGATGAAATCTCAGCACGGATCCGAAAAGCTCGAGCTGCTTTCGCTGACTTACACCATCTCTGGCGTAGGCGTGACATCCGGTTATCAACCAAGGGACGTGTGTACTGCTCATCAGTTCGCTCCGTCCTTCTCTATGGCTCTGAAACATGGCCAATACGCGTTGAAGACATGAAAAGGTTGACTGCTTTCGATCATAGATGTCTGCGATCTCTGTCTCACGTTAGGTGGTTTAATAAGGTAAGTAATGTTGACGTTAGGCGTAGAGTGTTGGGCAAAGAGGGAAAATCAATCGACGAGGCTATAAAGTTACATAGACTAAGATGGCTAGGTCACGTGGTGCGCATGCCTAACCACCGCCTCCCCCGACGGGCATTGCTAGCTGATATAGGTTCAGGTTGGAAAAGAGCCAGTGGTGGCCAAACAAAAACATGGCCTCATCAATCCATGAAATCCTTGACAGTTAAACTGAGTCAGGTAGGGAGATGCAGACTCCCGGGTTGGGGCCCTCGGGACTCTAGGAATCAATGGCTGGAGACAATAGGTGACATGGCTCAAAATCGTTGTCAATGGCGCAGATGTATTCAGTCTCTGTAATCTTTCATATTCCTTTCTACCATTACCCATTCTGTTTCACTCTTATACTTGTCAAACTCTATTGATTCTCTTCACTCATCTTCTTGTCTACCTCTGTGTGCTATTTGGAAGGTGGCAACTCGAACTGCTGCACTTCGGTGCCAAGTTCTATGTTGAATCTAGACAGACAGACTGTATAACAACACTGTGTGCCATTAAATCGTCATGATTCTTCGTGCGCAACATTTTGGACTTTGAAAACTCAGTCAGTCAGCATTAGGTGACTGTGTTGGATCCTCGCACCCTGTAGTAGTAAACACTTTAATCCTTGTTTTTATATTATTCAACTATTTTAGTGTGAATAACTGTTTTCTAATCTCTGTATGTTCTTCAACTGTGTTCACGTCTCCTCTACTAGATACATCGATTGATTAAGTACTTTTCTTTATTATTTCTATTAAAGGCTTATGTATATTATGGGGAAGATTTGTTAGAGAAAGAAAAAGCTGGACAAGCTGTAGCCGTGCTCAAAGAGGCATCTGTTCGTAAGTTGAGATATTTACGCTTAACTGAATATACTCATTTCTGTTTGTGTTATCACTCTGGTGGTATCTCTTCCAATGTTATACAACTGTTGGAAAAAAAGAACGTTAAATAGAGAAAGAATATATTAGATGGTTGGAGGCAATCGGCCACCGGAAAGCCTTGGACCTAGGTTTCGTGCTAGTTGGCACTCATCAGCAAGGCGTATCTGCAAACTTGAAGGAACTCATGTCTGCAGTGAAGAAAGGACTAGACACATCACACTGTAACAACAGAAGACAACAGGCAACAGATCGTTTTATTATGAAAATCAACACGTATTTATATATATTTCACATACATTATTATAGCTTATGCAAGTAGACAAGCGCAGTCATCTGACTGGTTGTTTCGGGATTCCTCGAAAAATAGAGTTCTCTATCTGCGAATCATATTTTCCCACGTTAAGTCTGCTGTGATTGGTTGTTGAATCAACCTTGTACATATTTCCTCACGGCCTGCTCTCACCACAACACTAGTTACTAGTGTCCAATCAAAAGAGAAAGAATATTGCAAAAATTTGATGTCTATAGTTTACCTTAGACAGATAATATTCCGTTTATTGATCCAGTGATTTATATATTATAGATAAGATTTGTAGCTCAGGTGGATGATTTTGATGTCTAGCTCGAGATAGACAAAATTTACCAGTCGATAAGAAGGAAGTCTCACACACACAAAGGGTCAACGTTCAAGTCAAAGAAACAATCAGTTCCAATGCGAGTAACCTAGAAGGTGTGAAAACACACACAAACAACCAATCACGTCCAAGGTCACTGGCCAGGAGAGATGATTAATGAACTCGTGAAGAAATCTAAAAGCTCACTTCAACAAATTGAAGTATGCGCTGAAGGTGTCACCTAGTAGGGTGATGAAAGCTTCGCAAATCAACTATCCAGCTCAGAGAACACAACCACATCAAAAGACCCAGTGATTTCTTAGCAGTGCATATACAGGTGAAAAGGCGGCAAAGAGACCGATGAAAAATGTGCATTGTATTCTATGTCCAAGTTGTGTTTAATGCGAAAAATTGTTACACAAGCAAGTGATCACGTTATGAAGGTACTCGTAAAACAAATGGGTCAGCATTACTTCATGTGATTTTAAAAGTATGGTGGCGACTGTTACTTACCTACTGCCCACACTGCGGAAGTTGGTTTTTTCTTGGAGTGATCGCAGGACATATGAGACAGCTGCTTGAGGTCGGTTAAACGCAGCCTGTTTTAATTTGTCCTTGGAATTGTATCCGTATTATTATCTTACCGTCGGCTATGGACTGCTGCAAGATAAGACGGGATGTTCATTTTCCGGGGTCAACATTTTGTAAACCCCTCTCTAGAGCGGAGAGGCAGCATAGCTGGCATGGTAGGCATCTGAGGGGAACACGTTACCGCTGTTACATCCCTATTCGTCAGCGGTACGACTTTACTGACGGATCCCAAGATATCGGGGGGGGGGGGTTCAAACGAATTTTGTAGGATGTTGGGAGTTACAGGAGCATTAGTTCGAGCCAGTGTAGCTCGTTGGGTCATTGTAATATTCAAACTTGACCACCACATGAAGTTAACCACTACCGATCGGGCAAAAGGAACACTAGAGATTGGTTGAAAATATAAAAAACCATAAGATCAAGGACAAAATTAGCTAGGAATGAAGAGCAAATATTCTTTTCAGTGTTTTCACCCCTCTCTTTCACTCAACGAGCCCTACTGACGTCAGATTTTCATAATCCTCTCCTTTTTTTCAAATATATTTTTTCGATAGCATATGAAAAGGCACTTCGTGCTGCACGTGAATATGTAAAAGTAGAAGGTGTCAGCTTATCAACTAAACCTCCTGACCACTGCTTTTTTCGTCGTCTCCCTGGATTAATTGAACGGACACGGAATAAATGTGATCGTGAAAATGGTCTAATGTAAGTTATCGTTTAGGGGCTTTGGAGGTGAAAAATTAATTCTTATTGGAAATTCTTTCTTTTTTCTCTTTCTCACTCTCTCTCTCTCTCTCGTATATATGTGCTTCTTACAAAACTAATCATAGATTTTCTGAGTGCATCAATGGCACAGTGGTTAGGACACTCGCCGACCATGCAAATGGTGCGGGGTTCGATCCGTTGCCGACGCACACACCGTATCAATGGTCGGCCTGTAAAATTTGGCCTACAGATATCACATGCTGAAAACTCCATACCGGCGTCCAACAGTCATTATATTTCTTGACCTGAAGGCAGCATTCGACTCTGTCGATCGGGAAGTTCTCTGGAGATGCTTGGCTGTAAAGGGAATTCCAAGAAAATATATTGCACTGATTAAGGCACTCTACTCGTACTCATACAGCCAGGTGAGGGCTTACGGCGAGCTGTCATCTGAACTGATGACGACCAGTGGTGTCCGTCAAGGATGCCCATTATCTCCTTTTCTATTCAACTCCATCATAGATGTGTTAATGGACTTAACCCTAGGTGACTTCAGCGACTCAGGGATTGACTTGCTACCAGGGAATAATCTCGTTGACTTGGAATATGCAGACGATATAGTCCTTCTAGGCGAAGACGCTGACGAAATGCAGAGTCTTCTGAACACCTTGAGCCGCAATCTACGAGTGTTTGGCATGCGATTCGCTCCCGCCAAATGCAAGATGATGTTACAGGACTGGACTACATCGACGCCTAGTTTAAAAATAGGAAGTGAAGTGGTAGAGCACGTTGACCGCTTCACTTATTTGGGAAGTACCATCAGCCAGTGCCAACGGGCTGATCTCTGACGAAATCTCAGCACGAATACAAGGGGCTCGTTTCGCATTTGTTAGTTTACGCCGACTCTGGCGTAGACGAGATGTTCGACTATCGACCAAAGGGCGGGTGTACTGCTCATCAGTCCGCTCCGTCCTCCTTTATGGCTGCAAGTGAGACCTGGCCACTGAGAGTGGAAGACATGAAAACACTGACTAACTGTCTTTGATCATAGGTGGCTGCGTTCTATTTCCCGTGTAAAGTGGCATAATAAGGTGAGCAACATGGAGGTTAGGCGTCGAGTTCTAGGTAAACAGGGGAAATCAATCGACGAAGTCGTGAAGCTACATCGACTGAGATGGTTAGGACATGTGTTACGTATGCCAAGTCATCGCCTCCCTCGACGAGCAATGTTAGCGGATATAGGGTCAGACTGGAAAAAAGCTAGCGGCGGTCAAACAAAAACTTGGCACCAGTCAATGAAATCCACAACAGTTGGTCTAAGCCACGTAGGAAGGTGTAGACTGGCTTCCTGGTTGGGGTCCTCGGGATGGTTTAATCCAATGGTTGGAAACAATTGGTGACATGGCTCAAAATCGTTCTTAGTGACGCAGGTGCATCCACTCCTTGTGACTTATTATTTCCAATGAAACTGTCTTGTTCTTCGTTACAACTCCTCCTTTGTCTCACACCTCTGCTTACTGTCTCTATTATGCTTTTCATGTACTTTCTTCTCTTGCTTCGCGTGCTACACGGAATGTGGCGACTTGAACTTCCGCACATTTGTGCAAAGTTCTATGTCGAAAACAGACAGACAGTACAAGAAAATACGATGTGGGATCAAGCTGTAAAATAAAAATATTGAGTATCGTTCATCCTTAGCCGATAAATTGCCATAATAAATAAACATGTTTCCTCTTCTTCAACTTACGCGTATGTTATTTACTTTACTGCTCAAAGTTTATGTGTTTATGTTCAACTTCCTAGATCAGATTTTCTATGCACAAGGTTCAAAGCCTGTTATGATGTCACCGCTTCATATTTCTCAATAAAACTGCAATTGAAATAGGAACATGGAGTTGGACATATACGCGCTGATCATGAATACCGCTTGACTATGCTAACAATGTTACACGACAGTCACCTATTCTCCACAGTCCTCTCTACTTAAACGAGAACACATAATGAAATGAGCCGAAAAGCCTACTTCTAGGCCGCACTATATTTTATACAGAATAATGTATGATTCAAAATATCACCAAGTTATATCAGTTAATCTGTAATTATAATCAATAAAATAGTGGGCGTTGTTTCACGTTGGCCACTTCTGATTGGTTTATTTCCGGACTGACCTTGATCACCATATGACCAATAAAAAATGACCTATTGTTTATCTGTCTACATATCAGAGCCACAATTTTCATGTGAGCGCTGGTGATACTACCCGGGTCGAAGTAGATGGATAGGGATTCTAACCCTTGTCCCATCGACCGCTTATGCCAGTGAGCCACACATTCACTTATTCTTTGTAAAAGGTCTGTCAACAAAGTTATTCAAATAATAGTTTCGTATATACGAATAGGGAGTTTAACCAAGTTATTTTAAAATTATCAAGATGTATCGAATTTTGTGCCTTGTCTTAAAGATGATATTAAAAAAATAATTCAGCGAAGGTTTAGAGGGGTAAGGTTAAGCGGTCTTTAGATGTCATGGTTTTCTTAAAAACTGTTGTGTGCTTTTCAAACGCAAAAGTTCTTCTAGCGACTTATATTGTTATTTCGCTTTATTCAGGGATCTTTGCTACTTCAGGTCCATTCATCGTTGATTTATCGTATCTTTATGTTTAACATTCAGTTTCTTCAGCTGTTATTCACATAAACCAGATAGTTAAGATCCTCCCGGTACCGTATTATGAGCCACACATCTTGTGTGAGGGCCGATGATGCCACTCAGTTCATTATATTATTATTTTTCCTTTGGGTTTCGAGTGGGACAAAGGGCTTCGACAGCAAGTTTCCATGTCATCCTGTTTCTGCATTCCTCTTCAGCGCTGGCTTCACAATTACCCATATGCTTTCATCTCCGCAATGTTACCCTCGGGCGTTCACATCGTTGTTTTCTATTCGGGTTCCACACGAGCGATTACTTGGCACGTGATGTTACCCAATGGTCTCCTCAGCATGATTCTGACTCTTTCTGTTTTCTTTTGCATATTTGATGGGAGTTAGATTGTTGAATGGTTCTTTCACAGAGTTCGTTACTTCTAAAATTCTATCTGGTCTTCAGCATGCAGCCAGCGAAGGTGATATCTGTTGATATAATAGTCTTCAGTAGCCTATTGAGGAATGCTTTCCGTGAAGCACTGGCCAAGTTTGTCACCTTTAAAGAAGAGCTGACTTAACAGTGGTGTTGAAAATCCAAGTCTTGTCCTTTACACGGAGTGCAGTAGATTTCCAAAGTGACTTCAGAGTGGTGAAGGTCTGCCTTGTCTTTCCGATTCTGGTTTTGATATCGTCATCGGTTCCTCCTGTCGTTGAAAGAAATGCTACCTAGATAAGTGAAATAAGGGACCTCCTTCAAATGTCTTCCGTTGATATTGCTTGGTGCTGGTTGGTTATCTTCATCAACTCCACCTTCTCTATGTTCTCCTGGAATCCTGTCTTCGCTGCCTCTTCTGCTAGTTTGTTAGTTTTCGCCTGTAGGTTTTCAAGGGTATTCGACACAAATCACCCACGGAGTACAGATCTTCTAGAGCCTTTTCTTATTAGCTCAATGCATTCTACCCAGTTGTTCAGGCTTATTTAGATGGAGTGGGAATCGAGCCTGAATCCTATTAGCTGGAAGTCGAGTGCTTTATCTCCAATGAACCATATCTCCACATTCACATAATCTAAGATTACGCTGAATAGACTCTAATTTGAAATGATTGTCTTTTATTTTTTAATGAGTAAATTATGCACAATATCACTATGGTATTGATTTTAATCCTAATGATCATGTGTTCTCATTACAAAACAAATAAATCAATAAATTAATTAATTTTTAAATCTCTGAGTTTCTTTCATTTAATAATTAATTATACAGAGTATTATTTCGAAGTCTTTAGAAGTTAATTACCTCTTGTATTAAGGTCAGAGTAATAACAGTATAATAATAATATTAATAATAATTGTCAGAAATCTCACTAATTTCTTTCCTTGCAGAGCTGATTCACATATTTTCTTCTCTCTCTCTCTCTGATTAATCAAATTATGATTTTCAAGTATTGGTTTCTAGAGATTTGATTGATTGGTTACTGAATTTCATCATGGGCCGACATCAGCTGTTTCCTCCTATGTCGTGAATCGTCAGAAGTTGGAATTCATGGGTTGGCCATTGGATCGAGTCCCAGTGGCTTAATGGTCTACTACAAACTCGCCAGCCTTGTAATCAGAAGGTCCTGGGTTCAAACCCTGGCGATGGGCACGTACTTCCGAAGAGTCCCAAATTAGGCTGACGAAACATCTTTCTGGTACTCCTAGTTGGTTTTCCAATGCCTCTCTCACCGATATCAGCTCATGATGAAATCCAGTAATCAAAAATTACGACAAAGTTAAACTTAAACACCACTAAGTTACTAACGAACTGATGACAATGAACTCACCAATCACATGATAAAGGTAATTTGTGCCATATGAAATTCATGAATTCATGAAAAATTAATGATTTGAAAGATCTGAAGCTGTTACACCACAGGATATCTTTCTCTGACGTGTGACAAAAATATCTCTCACTCTTAGATGAAAGTGTCAACAGAGAGTAGTTGAACCACACATTCTGTGCATGTAGTTATCTAGTTTTTTAACCCTAACACAATAGCCCAAATCTTTCCTTAACCTAACCCCTAACGTGAAAATATCCCGAAACTAGCCCTAATCTAACTCGAACCAAGCCTAATGTCGCCTTCATCAGGTTAACCTAACCCTAACCTATCCTTAGCCTAAACCTGAACTTGATCTTTCCCAAACCTTATCTGAAACTGGCTGGATATCCCATTTAATAATATAACACCTCACTAAGCACTTTTTATTCATGATTACAATATTACTCGCCAGATTTCATTTACTTGTGTTCTGAGAGCTTCAAGGTCGTTGGTGCTGTCACACTCCTCTGGTATTTCCTGGTGCTTAAAGTCTAACTTGGCCTAAATTATAAGATCTGAGTAGTTTCTTTTACAGTGATTAAAATAAATGATGTTCCTGGTCAGTTTTTTCCACCCTGTTTGGGACTCTTCATTGGTCCACACCCATAAACCAACGATGGGGAACTGTGCCTAGGACCTTCATGCTACAAGATGAACTGGTATACTATTCAGCCATGTTTTCTTTTCAGTAGATGTATCCGTACATAAGTTTGATACTAGATGGTGTAATAATAAGTTGCCATAAATAAATTATAATTTTTGTTTTAATTTGAAGTGGATATCTCCAACTTTTTTTGTGAGTTAGAACTATTGATTGGGACATATTCGTTGGTGAAATGTCAGACGTTACTATCTCTAATATCACCTGCTATCTCAAGTTCTGTTGGGATATTTTCTGCCCTACTGAAACATTGTGTTACGAAATCTGATAGGATTTCTTCTCCGCAACCAAGAGCCATTCGTTCAACAAATCTATAGGAAGAAATGGAGATGGCTCGGGCATACGCCACTGAGAAGGCTGTCGAGTGACATCGCGCGCGATACAAACCATTTCTCGAGTGCAATTACAATTGGAAGCGACGAGTGAGTCATCGCTGTGCGTCGGTGGCAAAGTGGTTAGGACTCTCGCCGACCATGCACATGGTCCGAGGTTCGATTCCCTGCCGACGCACACCTGATATCTATGGTCGGCCTGCAAAATTTTGGCTACCGATATCCATGCTGAAAATTCCATACTTGTACCAAAAATACAGTGTGGAATCAAGCTATAAATCAAAAATTAAAAAATTAAATTAATCATTGCAAGAGTGACATGTAGGAGATCGTGTGAGTTGGAGGTGGAGATGAGAGACTGGGCGATCGTGGACCCAGCTGAAAAGAAAAGCAGAAAATAGAACACCGTGGGGAGGTGTGTTGTTGAAGCCCCCTCCATATGTTCCACTTGGAACCCAAGGGAATATTAATACTACTAATAATAAATATTTTATCATACTTTTTGATATGTATCCACATGATGTGTGTGTTTTGTTGTTGACAGTCTATTATATTTTGCTATGTGTATATGGATCGATATTCCATTATAACTGACAGTATGCTTTTGTCTGTCCACTAACTAAATAAACATGTATGACCTTGTTATCATATGACATTACATACCAATCATGGTAAGATGACTGTCTATTGGATCATGTGTATTAGCCATTTTCATACATACTTTGCATTGTACACTTATATATTCTTCTTGGTCGTACAAATTGTACCATTTCACTCACACTCTTGTGTGACAATTATTTTCCTTTTCTGGAAAATACAATTATCATCGTAAACCTCGTGGTCTTCTGATTTCCCTTTTTCCGCGTCAGGACTCGACGAGTACATAACACTTTTTCATTCAATCAATTATTTTATATTCCTGGTAATAAGAAAAATAATAATAAACTCACAGCACCATTTTCCCAAACCAAAGAATTTATTTCCCTTTTTGCATTTTTACTGTATAGATTTCATCAAAAAGTTCCCACAGTTGCTCCATATTTAGAAATAAAAGCTGAATATGGTATTGCAACACCGAAAGAACCAGAATTGGATTTCAGTTTAGATTCACGATGGAAAGATGTTTATATTGGATTTGATATGAGCAAAATTGCTGATAATATAGTATCAGGATCTGTAAGTTAAATTTTTACCTCTAAATTTATATGCATATTAAGCTTTTGAAAGTATCCACTCCCCGCCATCCCCTCAACCTAATTAATACACGTTTAGATATTGTGTTTTTTTTTCATTACCAAGATTCTGTACTCCACTTTCTAATGTGGACATCAGCGAATGTCTGACAAAATCCATCGACTAGGTTTCTGATTAGATCTAAATGGAACCTAGTATTTTTCCCTTTCAGAACAGGATATTGTATTTCTGAGTGAAATTTAAGGCTTCATCAGCAAATTTCCACTGCACTTTGTTCTCTTTCTTTTTCATTCTCACACGATATCTTTCATGTCACTGTCTGATGCCCCCAAATCATCGTTCCCCATTTTTAGGTTCCACTTGTAGGCATGTCAGGCATGTGTGATGTCACTCACGGATGTGTCCTCAGCGCGTATCTCCAATCCATTTCCTATTACTACTACGTATTTGTTGTGCGATGAGTTCTTTGTTGGTACATTGCCAGAGCTCCTCGTTACCTCTCTTTTCTGGTTATCTGTAGAAGTGCTTTTGGAAGTGTGTGGGCGGTTGTTACTTCCCGTCTGCCCACACCGTGGAAGTTGATTGATTCTTCGGGTACCTGAAACAGAAAGAGGGTTAGTGTTGTGTGACCGCAGAGTCCAGGGGACGGACAACTGCTTGAGGCCAATCACACACGGCCTGTATGAACTGGTTTGTGGGATTGGTTCCGTATTAGTAAACTTACCGCCGGTTACGGACCACCGTAGGTGGGGTATGTCGGGATGTACAATTGTTGGGGTCGACATTTTCTAGCCCCCTTCCTCCAGCTGAGTGGAGAGACAGCATAGCTGGCATTCCGGTTATCTGAGGGAAACACCGCACTGCTGTTACACCCCTGTTCCCCAGCAGTACGACTTCTCCCTCAGACCCCCAGCATAGTGTAAGAAAGATTTTTACACTAGGCCGGAAACTGCTTCTAGTCTAATCGCCATCCTGACAACCTTCCTGGCATGGTAGGACCTGCAGGAACATTGGTTCTAGCCAGTTTAGCTTGTTGGATCATCGCGATGTGCAAGCCCGACCACCACGTCAAGGTAGCAGCTATCGGTCGGGCTGGTTATCTGTATTAGTCTGATCGATTTTCCGGGGTAGTATCGCTAACCTCACAACCAACCTTCTCACTCTTTTTTCGGATTTAGGAGTGGCTAGCACATTGTTTATATATTATAATCTATACTGATAACCTTTCGAGCACAGTTAATCAGTCATAGCGTTATCAAAGGCTGCGATAAACCAGTCCAAAAATGTTATCAGATAAAAAAAACTTCATCTCTATGTATTAAATAGAATGAAATACTCATTCTTGAAATGATACCCTATCCACAATAACCAAGTTCTTTTCTTTTACTAGGTAATATTTCCAGCTGTAATTTATGGTCAAATCCATGAAAATATATATGTACGATTGCTTAATTCTTTTTGCTGTGTACAAATGTTGCTTTGTAGGGATTTAATTGATTGGTTACAGGGTTTCATCATGAGCTGCAGACATCGGTGGTGAGAGAACCATTGGAAAACCAGCTAGGAATACTGGACAGCCAGCTGTTTCGTCCTAGTGCTTGAGACTCTTCAACAGTATGCACCCATCGGGGTTCGAACACAGGACCTTCAAGTTAAAAGACCACTGGAACTCGATCCAATTGCCAACCCACGACCACTTAATAATTGATCTGATAATCACTAGCAACTGGCCCTATTCAGGTTAGTTAACCTGGAGTTCTAGTGGGAAGCCGTGACTAGTAGGGTACTTTGCAGCAGTACAGAGGTGAGGACAGTTACTCATCGACGAAGACATCGCGAAGTGGTCGCGTTATGTTATGAATTGACAGAATTTAGAATTCATTCACTGACCATTGGATTGGGTCCCAGTGGCTTAAAATGTTTATCATCAAAAAGCTTTCTAAAAGCACATTAGTTCGATTGACTAAGTTAGAGTAATATCCCTCTTAATGTTCTATGGTAACAGTCGTTGAATCACGGATTGATATCTGTTAAAGAACCATCGAAAAACAAGTAGTGGGTAGGAGGCAGTTGTTTCTTCCTAGTTTGGGACTCTTCATCTCTCAATGTAGGCACCTATCACCCAACCGATGATATCATCTAGGACTGTCAGGTTACGAGGCCAATCTTTTGAGCATTCAGCCAATTGGACAGGTGTGTTCAATAGCCCATGAGTTATAATTTGGATGGATTTACGATTTCTAGCACCATGATGAGGCACGGTAAAACTTGGGCACTGTGGTGGTAGTAAGTAATTCCATATTAGTTTGTTTATTAGATGTATCACACAATCAATGAAACAGGATTATTTACCGGATGAAACAATTTCGAACAAAATTTATTGTTCATGATTACATCATCAGTTATAATCACACAACTTCGAAACTTAAGTTTTATAGTTTTCTTAGTCCTCTCCTATTTGTCGTCGTACGGGTAGTAGAATTTTCCAGATTTCCGCCTGGACAGGTGTTGAATCATTCCTATTACACGTATTTCCAGTTGATTTGATAAACAAAGCTCCTGTTATCAATCTCTCCCTTTACCCTGTGACATTAGATTTTAGTCAGACTAGCCGAACATAAAAACTCAACAGCAAAATCTAGATTAGTTGATCCGAATAAAATAAGAAATCTAGAGAATAGTTCAGCTATAGCACTCACTACATGCAATCACGCACAACCATACAATAGGATGGATGGAATAGGATGACAGTTTTAAAATCTAATGTCACAGGGTGAAGGGAGAGATTGATAACAGGAGCTTTGTTTATTAAATCAACTGGAAATACGTGTAATAGGAATGATTCAACACCTGTCCAGGCGGAAATCTGGAAAATTCTACTACCCGTACGACGACAAATAGGAGAGGACTAAGAAAACTATAAAACTCAAGTTTCGAAGTCGTGCGATTATAATTGATGAAATGTGACTATGAACAGTAAATTTTTTTCGAAATGTCATCCAGTAAATAATACTGTTTCACTGACTGTGTGATACATTTAATAAACAAACTAATATGAAACCTAAGATTTGATAGGACCCCACTGATTAATGGTCACATTCATGACATTACATTCTCTATCACTTTGCAACTTTCTGTTATACCATAGTAATTACAATAAAGAAAATATGTCGGAAAAGTGGGTGAATATGTTTGATTTTGAATATGCGTAAGGCTTGTATAACAAACAATGATTCATTTCTATACATAGTTTGACTTCTTCAATTTGTTTTGTGTGTGTGTGTGTGTGTGTGCGTATTGTTTTCTCATGAATTTCTTTCTTTTTTTCAAATTCATATTTATCGAATCATTATTATCACAGGTGTTAGATATAGTCGAGTAACGTAAGTTTCAACTGTGTCGCCTTTTGTTTCCTCTCAGAACTAAAGTCTATGTAGCACAGTTTGTTTTGTTCATTTGTCAATGCAAATGCTTAACATAACAACAACAACAGCAAAAAAGCCTTTCCATATGTCATCTGTCATTATGTAATAACTTTTTATTATGGCATTTTAATAACTAATTGTAATTTTTAAATAATTTCACCCTTAACCGGAAATTATTGTGGAACTTTCCCACCCATTTGATATAAATACACGAATTTACAGCTATCTAGTTGATGCTGACTTCGTCGCTGCAATTGTCTTCCTAATAATTAGCAGTGAGACGATTCCTCTTTGAGAGACCCTACTTAGTAGGATTTTCAATAAAGCAGGTATTAGAAGGGTATTAAAACTTACAAACTCACTCAAGTAGAAGAAGCTCTGTAAGCTAAAGAACCTCGTCAGTTGACGCAGTTAGACAAAGTAATATAATTTACAAAATACCTTACAATGACTGGGAGTTAAATCAGCGCTGCATAGGTCAGTCAAACAAGTAGATCAGGAGTAGTGAGATTATCAGAACATAAGAATTCAGCTAAGGTTGGTTGGTTGGAAGATAAGCAATTCAGAAAAGAAATCGCACTACATGCATACATTAACACACAATCACATAATAGGGTGGGTGGGAGAGAGTCAAATTCTAAAAAGTAATATAGGTATGTGTAGACAGAGAGAGAGATTGATTACTAAGTCCTGGTTCGTCGAGTCAATCTACACCCAACACATGCAATAGATGTGACTCAGTGCAAATACCTGAGATATGGAAGATATTATTATCACTAATCAGTCAAATCAGAAGAGGATAATAAATAATGTCAAAATGTATTCAGTTCAATTCACATTATAGCACTCTAACAAGTTACTTATTTTCACTATAAAAACATCTTATTTCCCATCTTATTGTATTTTGTTGATAACGCTAGTATTATTATTTCCCAATGTACTTCTTCATATTATATTGCTTTTATTCAACTGTTTTTGATGTACTTAGTTGTGTTCTCTCAGTTGGATATTTCAACTCGATGTGTACGCTGAAAATGTTGTCCAGTAGGGCAATGAAAGCTTCGCAAGTAAACCGTCCAGCTCAGAGAATACAACTAGGTCTAAATCATCCACCTGAGCTACAAATCTTCACTATCATATTTGTTCAAAGGTCTAGTCGCATCAATTTTTACTCATGTATATAAAACGAAGCAAGAAAGTAATGTGTGTGTGTGTGAGTGGATTGATACAATGACGAAGAGCAGCAGCAATAAACTGTGCTCGAAACGTGGTTATTAGTAAATATTACTGTGTGATTTTATCAAAATAAAATTTTATGCATGATGAAGGTATATTCTGATTGGATACTAATAACTAGTGTGGTGTGTCTAGTCCTCTCTTTGGTGTAGACTGAATTCTATCAGTCAGATTTGTAATGTGGCCACCATTCTAGGTAGCTGGCTTGCCATCATAGTGCACATTGATTTGATTATATTAGATAGTTAGGGGCAATTGGCCATAGGAAGCCGTGCTTGACCTAGGTTTCGTGCTAATTGGCACTCGCCAGTCAGCAAGGCGTATCTGCAACCTCCTTGAAGGAACTCATGTCCCTTCTAAGATTCGGACCCACGTCATCCAGTGCTGTAGTCAGAGACGTTATATGGTATTCTCTACCATACTGCTCAAGTTTTATCTATTTTTGTAAATACCACTAGTTGAAGAAGTTATTAAGGTTTATTTATATACACTTATGTGAAGTGTTATTATTATTGTTATTACTGCCAGAATTTGATCTAAGATGACGACTGTTTTTCTGTGTTGCTAATACTTTCCTCCTTTTTTTAAAGAACTACCACCTTTCTGTACCACTTTTATAATAGTAACCTGTCCATTGTTTTTTAAAATAATAAAAATTCATCATTAATGTCATCTAACACACATTGTGTAGCACACACGATTATTAATAAATTCCAATTAATCATTCATTATATAATTCGACTAAAATTTATCTCTGTTAATATTTTTCTTTTTTCTTTCTTCTCCTGTTTGGTATCAGAAAAATTCCAAAGATCGTAAAGAATCCAATCCTAAAGATGCACCAGTTGAACCTGTCCGTGAAATGCCTATCTTCAGTACTGACAAAGATCCAAAAAATGATAGCGGTTGTGTTATCGCTTAAGAACATAACACACACGTGCATACATACATGCACACCCACAAACAAACACATTGTGACATTGAATTCTAAAAATATCTCCTTTGACTTGTGTACTTTTGAATATGTGATAAATAAGATGTGTCTATGGCTTGCTGGTTGGCTGAAGAATGCCTGAGTGACACACTACTCTTTTACTTCTATCCTTACAGATTATTATCACTTTCAGTCGAATAAATTTTGTTTTTATTCAACAACAGCTAGAACGACAACAAAAGAATTTCCTTTCATATTTGCTAATATTTTGTGTAATTTTCATCTTTATAAAAAGTTGAAGACAATCATTATTTTGTCAACTCATAATTATATTATTATTTCCTTTAATTCCTATAGGAACATAGGGCTTCAGCTGCACGTCTCCATTGCGTTCGATTCTCTGCTAGAGTTTTCACCTGGCTCCAAGTCTGCCCGCATGCTTTCATCTCCTCTTCACATCACCTCCTCTATGTCACCCTCGCATTGATGACCAAATCACCGCTTCCCTTTCAATCGAGTTCCACTCGAGCAATGGCTTGTCTAGTGATGTCACTTGATGGTTTCCTCAGAGTATGGCCAATCCATTACATTTTTCTTCCTTATATGTTGCACAATCGGTCCCTGTTGGGTTAGTTCGCTCCCAGAGATCCCTGTAGCGGATTTTTTCTGGCCATTTGATCTTGAGTGGTATTGAGCGAAGGCAGCTGTTAATGAAGGTCTGTAGTTTGTTTGAGATGCTCTTTATGACGCGTCAAGTCTTTGATCCGTATAGTAGCACTGACGTTTTTTAATAATAATAATTTGCTTTATTCCAAAACAGTACTTGCGATACAGAATGGAAATTCTCAGCATTTTACTACAGTATTGCATCAAGTTAGTAAATTAACAATAAAATAGAATTCTACATAGATCAAGGAAATTTCAGTTCATTATGACAACAACATATTGGCATGTCCGTATGTTATGTTCTAGTTTCCCCGTCGCCAAATTGTTATGTACTAGTTTTCCCCGTCGCCAAATTGTTATGTACTCGTCGCTGAATTATTGTTATGGACTGGTCGAGAAACTAATAGTCCTGACGCGAGAAGGCGGAAATCAGAAGACCACTAGGTTTGCGATGATACTTCTATTGTCCAAACACAAGGAGACGAAAATAAATGGTCTCACACCAAAGTGGTAAGCAAGTCAAGTAGTTGTAAAGTAAAGTAGTTCACACAAATTGTGAATGCGAATATATATAAATAATTCAGACAAGCGTGGGAAAAATCATTAGACAGTCTTAACATGAATGGCTAATTATAATGGAGTGTCGATCCAATTATACATAGCGAATATAGCAGACATGCCAACAAACATATATGGATATATGTCACCAAGCAACGGACTGTCAACAAACACTCATATTATATATAATATAATATAAGGAGAATACACATTATTAAAGGAGACAAGTCCATACAAGTGAAGTGGTCACAGACTAACCGAGCAAACAGAAAGAGAGACCAACATGCACACACACACATAAATATATATATGTGGATACATATCACCTCCCCTTTTGAGAAGATGGATGATTAGTAGGATGTTTACCTGGGGGTTTATCTGGGACCTTTGGGCTTGTTGTTGACGCCTGTCGTTTCGTCTGATTGTTGGGTTTGCGGCTTCGGCTCCGTCCGGAATTGTCTAGCATTTTATGCTTCTTCACTGTATTGCGTAGAGAATTTAGTGGGACATCAGCCAGATGCAAACGATCGAACCAATCAAGTCCCAAAACATTTAAATCATTCTTCGTGACGTAACAAATTCCTGTGAATTTGGTATTGCGGAAGGAAACAGAACATTTGAGTTCACCAATTAGTTTGAGCCGCCCACCACAGGCGCTGACAAGAGACTGGGAAGTATTGGTGATAGGTGGTCTGCCAATATAATTCCAAAGTTTCTCTGATATAACAGTAATATCAGAGGCAGTATCTAGCTGCAGACGAGTATCATGACCATTCATCTGAAGGTCAATATATTTCCGCATAGCTGGTGTTGTGACTTGACAGGTTGCACGTAGACTCAGTGATCTTTTTGGAGATTTAGGACCGACATTTTGTTGAGCTTTTGCTGGATTATGATATCTGAGTTGGCGTGGCTGACAAAACCCATTTTTATGACCGATGATTTTGCACTTGCTGCAACGATGATTTTTGTATGGACAAGACTTTACAAAGTGCCACGCGCCACAATGCCAGCATGGTGATGGAGGGGTCTTCTTTGCCGTATTTTGTGAAGTTGGACGAGTATCTGTAGATTTCCGCGGAACATTAGGAGAAGTAGGTGGGTCAGGAGTAGCTGATGAGAGATTTTTGCTCTTGCGTAATGCACGAATATCAGAGCTTCTCGGAGGTGTTGATTCGACCAGGTGTGTGTCTTTCTGCAGATTAATCAGCCGTTGATATTCATCAGCTATGTCATGTAATGTTAACTTGGGATTTTGTTCTAGCTGATTGAGCAGTCGAGTTCGGATATCTGTGAAACGAGGAGATTGGAGACTGCATATGAGAATCAAGGCTTTGAACTGATCATCTGTTAAGGACCTGAGTCGAAATCTCTCACATTCTCGGTTGACTGTGCCAACGTGAGTAAGAAAATCATCATTTTCATTCATTGCCAGCTTGAGGCAACGATAACGTATACTGAATAATGAGGAGTGGTCTCCGAAATGTTCACGCAGCAACTTTATTGTATCATCGAAACAATTGTCACGTGGTTTCTGTGGTAAAATTAGGTTGCAGTACCGTTCATATTCTGCCGGACCCAATTTACGTAGCAAAACTCGCACCTTCCAGGCATCGTCTTGTGAGGCGAGATCAACAGTGAATAAATCCTCATAACGTTGATACCATGTGTCAAAAGTGACATTAGCCTCTGGGTCATAATTGAACTGTGAAATGCTGTTCACAATTCCGTCGACAGATGGTAGCATGGTATGATTGGGATTGCTTGAAGGTGGAGCTGGACCAGTCTGTTGGTTGACGAACATTTCCATTAATTTCATTTGTCGTTCAAACAATAATTCCAATTTAATAGGATCCATAGTAAATTGTTATGTTGTTGCTGCTGTGTGGTTAATAGTAGTTTTTCCCCGTCGCCAAATTGTTATGTTCTAGTTTCCCCGTCGCCAAATTGTTATGTACTAGTTTCCCCGTCGCCAAATTGTTATGTACTCGTCGCTCAATTATTGTTATGGACTGGTCGAGAAACTAATAGTCCTGACGCGAGAAGGCGGAAATCAGAAGACCACTAGGTTTGCGATGATACTTCTATTGTCCAAACACAAGGAGACGAAAATAAATGGTCTCACACCAAAGTGGTAAGCAAGTCAAGTAGTTGTAAAGTAAAGTAGTTCACACAAATTGTGAATGCGAATATATATAAATAATTCAGACAAGCGTGGGAAAAATCATTAGACAGTCTTAACATGAATGGCTAATTATAATGGAGTGTCGATCCAATTATACATAGCGAATATAGCAGACATGCCAACAAACATATATGGATATATGTCACCAAGCAACGGACTGTCAACAAACACTCATATTATATATAATATAATATAAGGAGAATACACATTATTAAAGGAGACAAGTCCATACAAGTGAAGTGGTCACAGACTAACCGAGCAAACAGAAAGAGAGACCAACATGCACACACACACATAAATATATATATGTGGATACATATCACCGTAGCAAAGCCAAAATTAAACAGAAGTGTTTGAAGTTATTAGAAAAGTAGATGATAGCATTCCATTATAGATAAGATTTTATTTTGATAAATCGCACAGTGTTTACAGTTATATGAACTGATGACGTTTCGAGCACAAACTATTGCTCATAATCATATCAAGCTACTTACACAACTTTGATCTCTCATTTATATACATATGTGAAATGGATTAGATATTGGATTAAAAATCAGCAGCTGAACATCTCAGTAGATTATGTCTAAGAGAAGAACTACATCGAGTTACTGTGAAACTAAATAATATACGAAATGAAATCGAAAAACTCAAACAGAAACTCAAATGTATGGTCAATGACAAAGATTATGAAATCGTTGTTGAAACATCCGAAAAAGCTAGAGAATCAGCCTTAAGAAAATCAAAAACCACACAAATCAAAAAATTCAACAAACTAATGGAAGAAAAGAACACAACAAATGAAATTGATGTCAACACTTCATCCTCTATCGACAGAACAAAATGGGTGATCAACCTCTCATCAAGAGATCTAAGCTCTAGTGAGATAAAAGTACTTGAGAAAGGACTAAATTTTAACGTAACAGTTAATAAATTAAAACCAGAGGACGTTATTCCTAACATAGAAGCAGCACTAGGTTCAATAGACAAGACAACAGCAGAAGAGGTTAGAGCACAATGTGCGTTAACCCTGAAAAATCAAAAGAAGGCAAGATCAAACTTAACAAAATCAGAAAGGGAAGCTTTAATTAGTCTAAAACAGGATAAAAATATTGTCATCGCAAAAGCGGACAAAGGAAACGCCACCGTAGTTCTGAATAAATCTGACTATATCAAGAAAGTCAGTGAACATATTGAAACGGGTCCATATGAGGAAATTAAGAAGCCTGTAGATACAATAATGAATAAGGTAAAGAAATCTACAGCGGAATTAATACGGAGAATGAAGCCGTCACTGGGTGAGTCTAAATGGTTTACTTTAATGCCTAAAACTAATAATACTAGTAGAATATATGGTACTATTAAAATACATAAACCAGGTTACCCCATAAGACCAATAGTAGATTTTAGAAATACTCCCACTTATGAATTATCAAAACACTTAGCTCTAATACTTTGTCCCATTAGAAATCGCTCAAACTCTAGACTAACTAATTCATATGAGATGAAAAGTAAGCTAAATGACATTCAACTAGAGAATGATGAAAAAATGGTTAGTTTTGATATAACTAGTCTTTACACT